TTATTACTCATTTGAATATTTCCCTCCAAAAACAGATGAAGTAAGACTAAATATATTTAAAAAAAAATTAAATAATGGAAATTGAATAATAATAATTTTTTTGAAATTCATTATTTTTAGGCGTTATCAAATCTTTACAACAGACTTAAACGCATGTCACATTTTGATCCATTATTTGCTTCTTTTACATGGGGAGCAAGTGGCAGCACTGCTAATAAAACAACAGAATTGTGTACTACAGCTCAAACATTGTATGGTTTAGAATCATGTATGCATTTAACATGTACAAATGTAGTTAAAGAAGTTGTAGAAAAGGCTTTAAAGGTCAATTCACGCTTGTCGTAGTTGTTTTTTCTTAACTATTAAAGCTAAAAACATTTTTTGATTTTTAAAAATTATATATAGGAAGCTAAAGATGCTGGAATACAAAATATTTTGGCACTTCGTGGTGGTAAAAATAAATATATTATTTGAAAATCTTGTCATGCTGCAAAATTTAATGAATGAATTATCTTTATTAATTTTAGTTATCGAAATTATAATTTTCTTTTTTTTTTAAAAGATCCACCACGTGGACAAGAGTATTGGACAACTACTGATGAAGAATTTCAATATGCAATTGATTTGGTTAGATTTATAAAAAAAGAATATGGTGATTATTTTTGTATTGGGGTGGCAGGTAAATTCATTAATCAATAATTTCATTAATCAATAAATCAATAAAACAATATATCAATAGATCAGTTGATTGTTAATGATTTACTGTTGCTTGATAATTAAGGTTATCCTGAAGGCTATCCTGAATCTAATAATAAGGGTCAAGATCTTTTATATCTAAAAGAAAAAGTGGATGCAGGTGCAGATTTTATCATTTCACAATTATTTTATGATGTAGATTTATTTATAAATTGGGAAAAAAATTGTCGAAAGATTGGTAAAGCAACTTTTTAAAAAACTTATCTAGGAATGTTATTTTTTAAAAAATGTTTGTTATTGACATTACGTTCATCATTTAATTTTGATTTAATTAGAGCATCTCACGCCTCAAGATCTGTGTTAGGTATTTGTTTATTAATTTAACCATTGCTTTCCTGGTACATTCTAATAAAATTATAGGCCAAGTCTAAGATACACACTCGGTTTATTTGTTTGGAAATTGGATATATTGTGGCAAACCTCCATTGATTGGAATGTCATTTAGTTTAATGATTAACTGATAAACATTTGTTTAATTTTTTACCTAGGTTTTAAGCATTTCATTACTAACTTTGATGGGCCTGTGGCTTTGCTATTCAGTAGTGATGTTAAAATTTGTTTCCATTTTGAAAAGAATGTGAGTCCATTACACCATTGTAGATTTCGGGATTTATGTCATCTTTTGGATGGTATTGAGGGTTCCAATGATCATTTAAAGTTCTTGATTCATTTTATGTTACCTGCCACATTTTGATTTTCACTGGGTCAATTAGCATACTATTATTATTTTCTTTATATATAACTCTATCTATAATTATGTGCTTATGTTCCCTTTCCAATATAGAATTTATAATGAAGATAATGAAGCCTTGGCTCTATAATCCTTGCATACAGTCAACCCTTGTTTCAACGAATTTTGGTTCTGTCCCCCTTTTTTTTATTAATTAAAAATTTTTGTTTCAACGAATTTTATGTTAATATATAAATCGTGTTTACAACGACAACGAATTTTTTTGGTAAGGGATCTTGGAATAAGAACTAATCGCGTTTCAACGAATTCACGTGACAATAGATAAACATGTAAATAAATAAATTAAATCATATATGGGCCATGCTGCAACAAAACCAAAGTGATCATTTGTATGACTGAGAATTTCAGGGATCAAAATTGTTTCTAGTATCATAATTGTACTAATGTGATTATGATATTTGTCTAGACAAAAATAATAATATGAAACTAATTTACATTAGGTCTACCATGGAACCCAAGAATTACAGCATCATTAGAAGTATTTTGAAAAAGGAACAAGGTGAGAAAATTGCTCCTTACATTTTTAAATTAACAGATACCAAATCTTTGCAAACATATTTAGACAAAGAAAGAATTGCCTATGAAATTTGTCAAGAGGAAAGAGTTTCAAAAGAGTATTAGAGAATTCTAGTAGTAGATACATATCTTAAAGATTATGTATCTACTTAGCCAGGTTATGTATCTACTAGGACTAGAGTATGTATCTACTATGACTTTGATGATTGTGGCCGATTTCTACTATTAGGCTACATGGGTAAAAAATATATCTGACGATGCATTCAGCCATATATCGTCATTTGTGGGCCCGTTGTGAGGGCTATGTCCGAACCTGGCACGTAGTGCCTTAGCTTTCTGGTTAATTCCTCGATTAGGGCCAGAGTTGAGGCATGTAGTGCCGAAATAGTATTCGTGACCTGGCTTTGTATGATGTGTTCGAATATCAATTAAGAATGAGGCACGTAGTGCCGAATTGTTAACTGTTATAATGCATTCAAATATCACCCAATGATGAGGCACGTAGTGCCGAATTGTTATCATATCTGGTAATATACCAAAGCATCCGATGATGAGGCACATAGTGCCGAATTGTTATCCATTTGGTAGTAGCCAAAAGCATAATTTTTATAATATATATATCTGTATTAATTATACCTTTGACTACTACCGCGAGTACGCTATGTTTTGGATCTCTAGAAACCTTTCTCGCGTAGTTGGTGCTTTCAGGTACTACCACTTCATGTCAAAGAATTGGTCTATGCTTTGATGTTTTACGTGTACTATTGAAAAATTGGTCTAAGCTTTGACGTACTACCGATTTGAAAAATTCCTGTAAAAAATCGGATCATACTTTGACGTACTACCGAATCAAAAAATTTGTTTGCAGTTTTGCGTATCACTTTTACGTATTACTTTGGACCATACTTTCATGTAATAATTTTGATTTGAACTTTTCCCCACACTTAATATAAGAGACGACAAAAATATTATTATGTTCTTATCAAAGAAATAAATTTCATTATATACTCTTGACCTTGCTTCTTGGTCATTAAATTCCTTTATTATAATAATATTTTGAACTTGATTTTCATAAGCCTTATAGTAATAATACCAGAATAAAATTTCATCACGTCTAGTTGGTTTTTTTAATATTAAATAAATTGGATATATTTTGTATTATGATTTTACTAAATCTAGACGGATCCTCTTCTAGAGAAAATTCAGAATTCTTTATATTAGAAGACATGTTTCTAAACCCAGCTAAAATATCTTCTAAAGAAAGTTCGGGAATCAGTATATTAGAAGATACATTATTATTTTCATTACTATTATTTTTGACGCAAATAAATAATTGTTGTATTAAACCTTGCTCTGTTCGCTGAATTTTTTCTTTATACCCATTATCTAGGGAATCTTTTAACTTACTCTCTAATTCGTTTATGAAATTATTTTGGCGATCTTAGTTAATACCTTCTTTTGATGATCGGCGTTACGAGACAGAACGCGCACGTAATAATTTTTGATTTGAATTTTTTCATATATTTTTTATTGTAAAAGGCACAAAAATATTATTATGCTCTTATCAAAGGAATAAATTTCAAATATATAGCAGAGGATAATTATTTTGATGATCGGCGTTGCGAAACAGAACGCGCACGTAATAATCCAAAGAATTCTAAATTCGTGGTCAAGGTATCAGAGTAATATTTCTAAAGAAACTAATTATAATTATTAGATATTATAAGAAGTTATCTTCTCTTTAAAGCATCTATTAGATTACAAGCTGTGTATTATTACGTGCTAATATTTTTTAGCCATGCTAGCTTCGCTAAGATTCTTCAGAGATAAAAGGATTGGATTTTGCATTAAAGCGATAGTTTCAGTTTATATAAATTTATAATGGTTAAATAATCATAATTTAATGTATTTACGCGTTTTTTCTAATATCTGCAAAATAAGGATTTGTATATGTTTTTTTGATCTGTTTATTTTAAATCTAATTTCTGATTTATTTAACCTGAAATAATGCTTCTATATGAGAAATCGATTATCTCGAATCAAATTATAATAAAATTAATATGTTATGCTCCATAAATTTTAACAGATACTAATAGTATAGTTAAGATTTCGAGATTAGAATATTTCATATTTAAGCCACGATATTGCTTTTTATTTACGTTATACTTTGGAATAATATGATAAAAAATATTTTTAGCGAGATTAGTATAACTAAAAATTCTATAAAAAATGATTGTTAAGATACCTTCACGTTAATTTATCTTTTTTGCAATTTTTTCTGGAATATTTTAAATAGCCGGTTTAACTTTCCCCTTATTAGAAGAGGCATAAAGCAACTATCATGGCCAGACAAATTTTATGAATCAAGTTTATTTCTATCGTTTCTGGTAACCTGCATTTTCTTATAAATAAATTTTTTCCGGAATGTAAGTTGGCCACTTAATCGATTTTCATTTTTTCAAATGTATGTAAGATACCTGCCTAGTTGATTTGAAATTTTCATTTATTTTTCTTAAATAATTAAGTAGAAAAATCAAAATTACGACGGAGCTTCAAACTAATCGTAGTTCAAGATACGTTATGTTATTATTCCTGCCTACCTGCTTTTATTAAATTTGATTTTTTCTAGAATTTTTTAGCGTAGGCTAACATGGCTATGCTAGTTAATACATTATCCTATCAGTAATGGTACAATATTTTAATAACCCAGAAAGATCAAATAACTTAAAGAAGTGCTAAGAGCATTGACTTCTTATCGAGAAAAAACTCCAAATTATTCCAAATGGATAATATTTATAGAAAGGCGGGTAAACTACTATACTATGGCTTCGGATTGTTTATCAAGATTGGTTTTCTTTTCAAAAAATAGGTTTTATATTGGTTGAGCGGTTGATAGTAATGGGAGTTGGAGTTAAAATTTCCAGAAAATGTTTTATCGAATTCTATCATTATTAACAAGTAGAAAAGAAAGGGTATACTATTATATTCTGAATTTGGGTTGCTTCCGGAATGAAGTTTAATATATTAATGAGTTATGGAGCTTTTTTTACCTTTCTATCATATATGATTAATCCATGCTTGCTTCGTATTTTTCGCCATGGTAGTCTCTGAGATGATATATTTTTTAATTGAGTTCTATTTAGTTACTTTATAATTGCTTCTGGTAATAAAAATCTCGCTTGTCTGTACGCGAAACAAAATAATAATAATAATAAATAATAAAATCCATGCACACAATATAAAATTAAACTTTTTATAATAAACTAGAGATGAGCAAATCAGTACTATACGTATAGTTCTAGAAAAATATAGTAATAAATGTAAATCAATTCCTGTTTAGGTTATTGCCAAATAGATGTGATGTTACATACTCTTTCTCACGATAATATATATTTTCGGTCGCGTTTACTTCGTCGAAAATTATTTCATCGACAATCATTTCACCAGCACCCATTTCGTTGAAAGTTTGTTTCATTGAATGTTCACTTCGTCGAATGTTCATTTCGTCGAAAATTATTTCATCCTCGAGCCAGAGACCGAACGAGTTAGATGTGAGGAGTGTGGGAAGTTAGTTAAGAAATTAGGTGAGAAAAGCGGAGAGCATAGTGGAAATTTGAAATGTTACAATAATTTTTTATATAGTGCAACGTAGCTTTACAATACACGGCAAACATTCTGACAATAAAAAGTGAGTGTTAAACTGGATTCGAATTTGATCCGAACTTGATCTCCAATTTAGAGAGGTAACAACTATACACTGGCGAAGTTTCAGAAGCAATGAGTTCTGTACAACATTTAGTGTAACAACGAACTTCCACTATGCTAAAGCGGAGTATGTGGGAAGTGTGAGGAGAAATTTGTTTAATGAAGTTTTTTTTTTTGTGACGAAATAATTTTCGACGAAATGAACATTCGACGAAATGGGTGTCGACGAAATGACTGTCGACGAAATGAATCAGACCCCTTTTCGTTACTTTTCGTCATAGGTGCCCCATTTGACGAAATACTTTTTACACTCCAAAATACTTTCGTCACCCAATCTTGATTTGAATACACTTTATTCAAATAGAAATTCTATTTCTGTGCACGGCAGGAAAAAAGAAAAATTGAAAAACATCAACAGCCAACTGACCCAAATAAGCACTTTATTGAATAAACAGTCACTGGAGACATTTATGTTGCGTAACAGATTTCCTTTGATAAAAGTTCACTAATTTGAATGTTTATTTATCGCGAAAATTAATCTCTGTCTCCTTAAATTGCACGCAGTCTTTTTATTTTTGAAAAAAGAAAAGTGATTTGAATTGATTCAGAGATGGGCGTATTTATAAATCAATAAATAAAAATCATAATTTAGATAAATGTTTTCAATAAATGAAAATCATTATTTAGGTAAATGTTAGGTAAATGTTTTTCAATAAATGAAAATCATTATTTAGGTAAATGTTAGATAAATGTTTTTCAATAAATGAAATCATTTTTTACGTATAGTATCGTATAATATCGTATAGTGTTCAACTATACGCCATTTGCCCATCTCTATAATAAACTCAGTTTTTTGTGCATTAAAGAAAAAATTAATTTGTATAATTTTAAAGTTTAAACCTTATTAATTATTATCTTTTTTTTTCAAATGATGCAGTAATGTTACCGAATACCTCGTTATAATAATAACGGATCATTTGGGAACTGTTGTACGTGAAAATGAAATTATGTGAATTCGCAATTCACATATGTGAAATTCAAATTAGCCAATCAGAATTTCATCCCACTCATAATATTTCAATTTCACATACAACAGGACCAACCAGTATTAGTATGTTCGTTATAACGAGGTTCGACTGTACGCCTATTTTACCCTTAATATTAATATTAATATTAAAACCAGGGCGCGAAACAAAATAATAATAATAATAAATAATAAAATCCATACACACAATATAAAATTAAACTTTTTATAAAAAACTCAGTTCTTCGTGCATTAAAGAAAAAGAAAATTTCTTAGCAAACACGTAGTGTATGTACACGTGTCACGTGCGTTATATAATAAAATTTGCATCAATAAAAAAAATTAACTTTTTTTTAAACTTTTTTAGAGTGAGTGTTTTGCTTGAGGGTTTGGGATACCCTGAAACACGTAACATTTCATTTTGCATCTTACATATGATTCGTATGTGCGTGCATATAACACAAGACAAGGTTGATTTGTGAAAATGATGGGATAATCTGTTATGATAAAATAAAGTTATGGTTAGAGATTGTGTGGTTGGCACTTGTTCAACTTCCCAAAAATGGGCCAAAAAAGGTTGTTTGGATCAAATGATGAGATGATGTGAGCCAATATAATGTAAAATAATGCGCAACGTAACACCGTGTTTACACACATAGTGTACAAATAGAAACTGCCATAGAAAAAAATTAACTTGTATAATTTTAAAGTTTAAACCAAGGAAAAGCAACATCTTGTTTTACCAAACAATAGTGCCATATTACATTTGACTTCTTTGAATATTATTATTTTATCAGTTATATTATTAATTATTATCTTTTTTTTCAAACGATGCAGTAATGTTACCGAATACCTCGTTATAACGGACATTTGGGACCAACCAGTATTAGTATGTTCATTATAACGATGTTCGACTGTACGCCTATTTTAAATTTTGCCATATGATATGTGGTGTAACGGACTCTACCCTTAAAACCAGGGCGCAAAAATGCCAATTGAAATTTACCGGTCGTGAATAAAAAAAACCGGAAATAGTGTAACGTAAAAAGTTTTTTTTTCAAGATTAAAAATGAGTTTATTCGAATATGAATTTGGTAGAAGTAGCTCAAGATCAGGAGGCTCAAGATATGTTTTACAAATAACAATTCTTTTGATGCCTTCTTTCTTTGTATAAAATAAAAAAATTATTATTTTGATATTTGTAGCTTACAAATAAATGATTTATTAAATCCAGATATGGAAAAATGAACAAAAAAATAAAAACTAATAGTTTCAAACAAAAATGGTTATCTGAATATAAAATCTACCAATATTAATGGTTATAATGAATTTCTCCACTAATTGATCAAAATGAATGTCAGAATGAATACACCCGTTTTAAAAACAATTGTTGCAACTAATTATGTTATTAGATTAATTAAAATTATTTATAGTATGTGTTTAATGTACAAAACTTAATCAAGTCAAAATTACGTAATTCTCTTAGCACAAAAACCTTAGACGACTTAGTATTGAATATACATGCAGCCCAAATTGGTTTGGTGATTTTGATAATCAAAATTATGATGGTAGAAAGTAGAAATTAATTACGGCATTCACTATTAAAAACATAAGTGTAACACCCCTTTACTACATGTGTAACCCCTTTATGACAGTGTCAAAATACTTTGGGTTGCATGTATAGTATTGAAGGACCAGAAAGCAAAGATTTTGACTAATAAAGCATTTATTATTTGGAATATTATATTGACGTGTTATATCACTAGAACAAATAAATTTTCGATCAAAAATTTGACATGCACGAAAAAGAGGACGTCCAGGATGAGAAGGAATATGTGCTTTCTTGTACTTCTTCTATTCATTATCGTGTTACACTTATTTATAGTATTTCCGTTTTTAAATATTCCGTGATTTCTTTAAATTCCCTGATTATCATGTCACACTTATTTATAGTATTTCCGTTTTTAAATATTCCGTGATTTCTTTAAATTCCCTGATTATCATGTCACACTTATTTATAGTATTTCCGTTTTTAAATATTCCGTGATTTCTTTAAATTCCCTTTTTTAAATTATCTGCAATTCAACTCAATTTCAATACAATTGCAGTACCTTACATTATTTCCGTTTTTAAACATGCAGAAAATCATCGTCCCTGTAGTGAACCAAATAAAAGAATTAACTTTCTAAAATGTAACTGACCTTTGATTTTAAAAATCTATTTAAACGATGACTTGTCTATACTAGAAATAATATAGTAAAAATTCTGAAATTAAAGAATTATACTTTTATATGACTCAACTAAAATATCATAATTTCCTAATGAAAAAACAATTTTTAATAATTCAACTCATATTAATATGTTCAATGCTTAGCGGAAATATTGCTGAGCAAAATCTCCATCTTTTTAAACGAGATATCAATGAACCTTGCAAGGATAACCTAATTGTTAGGTACAATCCCGGGGGTAGCTTAAAGGGGGAAGGTTGTTATTATGCAAGTTATATTGACAAAACATTCAATGGTCTCTCCTCCCTCAATAATCTATCCACTATAACATTTGCCGATCCTTACACCGACCAAGGCGTAATGGATAATGGGTACTGCATTAAGCACTGTGCCGATTATCTGTTTAGTTTTGCTGCCATTGGAAATGGTTTGTTATGCAAATGCAGTAATGATGCTACTTTCCCAGCCTATAAAATTACTAACGAGACGCTAAGCGATGAAACCTGCAACGATAGTTGTACTTTTCCGGTCTCAATCAATAGTAATTCTACTTACCAATGTGGTGGAAAAAATGCTTATACAATTTATGAGGCCAAATACGACAAGAAGCCCGACATCAATATTAGGAAAAAGGTAGAAATAATCCATGACCAGAAGAAGGATAATCGTTACATTGGATGTATTCATGACAATTTCTATTGTGGCAAAAGAGCAATGAACGATGATGACAAAATTATTACTGATGAAAATTTGACGGTTGACAAATGCATAGATTTGTGCCGCGAAAGAAAATTTAAACTTGCGGGACTAGAAGCTGGTAATCAATGTTTTTGTAGCGACAGTTATATTGGTTTGGGTGGTATTCGAGATGAGCATTGCAGTTCTAGTTGTGTTGGCAACAGTTCCCAAATTTGTGGAGGTTCTTGGGCACTTAGTATATATAATGTTTCTCCTCCTCCTCCTCATAATCCTCTTACGCCAGGTGCAATATTTGGTATAGTGGTAGGATCACTAGTTTTTGTAGCGTTAGTTCTCATAGGATTCTATTTCCTTCGCCGTCATTGCTGCCAACCTTAGCGGGAAGGAACTAATCGGCAACTTAAAACTAGAAAACTTTGCTAATTTAGAAACTTGAAAATAATTCTACACAGAAAGTGCAAATTACGTTTAAGTAATACATTTAATTAGAATAAAATTATAGGGACTCAGAGAACTAGACTTTAATATGTATAAATTTTCTTAACTTCATGTATTATCTTCATCTTAACATCTTATTATCTTTACTACTAATCACATAATTATCTACTAAAAAATATCTTGTAAAAATAACTATTGTAATAATCACATAATTATCTTACTAAAAAATATCTTGTAAAAATGACTTTTGTAATAATATTAATATTAATTATAATATAACAATAAAGTATATCAGATTGGATCTTAAGTCTAAACGGTAGCAAGAGTAATTCTCTTACTGACATCTTTTTAATTAATTAACTTAATTAATTACTATCTTATCAGGGGGACGCCTTTGCTAAGTATAGCTGTAAATATTTAAAATACTTATGTTCTCCTCTATTAGTCGTGTGACAAAAAATCAAGGGGCAAGTTTGTTTTCCGAAAAATTTCCGGTGATCTGCACAATTTTTTATTAATAAAATTTCGAATTGAATGTTGCTGTTTAGCAAGTGCCACCAAATTTGATATATAACTTCTTTCTCATATGTATCTGCTTTAAAAAAATTTTTGAAGCAAGTTGTTAATAAAACCGAAAATAATCTCAGCCTTAAAGTCAAATTTTGACTTTTTATTCATATATATAGAAATTTGTTAATGCGTGCAAAGATAAATTAAATGTCTAAATACTATTATTAAAATATTTACAGAATCGTGTTCACTTTGCTTTCTAAGGTATGTCTTTATACTATCATTTATTTAAACAAAGTATAGTTTATACTAATATTAATATATGAAATTTTATTTTTTAAAATAATTGTGGAGACCAAACATTTCATAGTAAAACTTTATTATGGTGTGAAAAATGATCAAGATTTTTTATGTGATGCAGCTCAATAACTTTGTTTAAAACTATTGGTTCAATAAACATCAAATATTAATGATAAAAGGACTTTTTTTTAGCAAATAATCAAGTACTAAAGATGCTGGCTGCCGTGGTAAAGGTACATTTTGATAGTGGACTTAAAGGCGGGTGTTAGAACTTTTTTTTCGCATGTACTATTTTTTCTTGCTTTTTATAGTTCTGCTGAGACTAGAATGTTTGCGGAACAAGTGTTAGGCATAAACTTATAACAAAACTATCGCTTTAATGCAAAATCCAATCCTTTTATCTCTGAAGAATCTTAGCGAAGCTAGCATGGCTAAAAAATAT